CGGATTCACATAACACGGCAATTTTTTGGAACGTAACTACCGTGTTATACGGGGGTTACCTGTATATATAATGCTATTGTTAAAAGCATTCTGTTATACAGGGAGGAGGCAAGAGAAGCGAAAAGTAACAACGGTTGAAATGAATGCATTGAGAATATCGTGCAGAGTCTCAAAAAGAGAAAGTAACTAATGAGAGAATCAAAGACCTAATGGGATTGAAGGATATGGTTTTGGAAGAAATAAAGAGGAAACAAATTATTTGGTTTGGACATGTGAAAAGAATGAGTAACGAGAGACTCCCGAAAATGTCAATGGAATACAATCCACAAAAAAGGAAAAAGAGAAGAAGACTCAGACAAACTTGGTACGATGGAGTAAAGTTAGCATGTAGTGAAAAGGGGATTAAAGAGGAATGGTGTATGGATAGAGAGATGGGGAGAGTTCCTGAGATCGAAAGGCGACGTCAGACGCCATAAACCGAATATAGATAGATATTATAATTGAATAAATATAGATCTCCAAAGGCTATTTAGATATTCGGATAAATTCTTAGGGGTGATTTAAATGAATTGAATGTTGTTTATTTTATAATAAGTACTGATAAATAATTTATGTATGGAAATTTTTATTAGTTACATTTTCACTTATTCCGCTTACTTTATATCGGCATATATGCAAGTCAGCTTTTTCGCTCGATCCGAGAGTAAAACTAGCGTGTTTACCGTTGTTTATCATACTGTCGATGTCGAGGAACTCGTTATACGTTAAATAAAATGAAATGTAACGAGTGTGGTTTAAAATATAGTCATAGACAAAAGTTTAAACAGATATATTAAGGCAAGCAAGCACATAAAGGACGCCAACGGCAGTGATAAAAATATTAAAGTATTTAAGTGCAAGTTGTGTTTACTTACAGAACACAAAAAGAACAGTTTTCTCTGCAGCATTGAAAAAGCTTCTTGAGTTGCTCTTGATTAAAATTTGCTCAAATCTCAAGAAATGTTGCAATGCAGTTAGGATTCTGTAATTAATAACAAATAGACAAATGTGCCAAGTATACTTCTATATTTCCATGTAAGGCATATTTCTATTTAAATTGAATTTGCTGATCTTAATTAAATGAGATAGTTAGGTTCAAGTCACCAAGCTAGTTAAACCAATTCCTCTTTATTAATATTAGACTACTAAACAAAAGTTTGTGGGGCAAAAATACGAATCCGTAGTCTTGCTCCAACACTCTTGCCCCACAGGGTACTTTTGATGTTACACTGGATAAGTTAGATTACATAGAAAAAACATTTACCTCAAATAACGAACAAGCCTTAGTCTCGGCGGTAGTAAAATCGCACTCAGTACATGTCCACCATCAGCTTTATCAAGTGATACGTTTAATGTTGTCAACAACATACAAAACAAGACAAAAAACTTAGATCGTGCTATTGCCCTTCGCCTAATTAACCTAACCGCTCTTGCCCCACATTCCTTTACCCCAACTACAATGCCTTGAGCAGCACTTTCATAAAAGATGGAGCGCTTCGGCATATTGAACGACGTGTAATTTATATTCCATCAAAATATCCGTTTAAATAGGCGTGCTTCATGGCTATTTAATGAATACCCATTAAATACGTTTGTTTTCTATTATTAATCAAACTCTATTATGAATTCTATTTTAAAATCTAGGATTTTGCTCTGGGGCGATCTAAAAGTACAGTACAATTAGAACGAAGAAAAATTAAGCATACCATAAAGTTTCGTTTATTTATAAGCAACAAAAATTATTCATGATAAAATATGATTTTAGATTTGTTGTTTAAGACGATTTTTTTTATATTTTAAACTTTATTCTTAATGCTTCTGGGGACCCAATACCCACATCACCCTAAGTATTACTACAGATTATAAATGAATTTAATTCATAAATAAATTCGAACAGCTATTGACGATAGAGATAGAAAGATAAATATTTATAGTATATTTAGTATATTTGTAGAAATTGTATATTTACAGAGTTTACATTGAGATAATTGAGTGATTCTACTGTAATCATCATAAACTTTACCAAGCAAATCTACGATCTTTTTATATATTTATTACGAAAATATTTTCTATTTGTTACAATCCTATAACAACATTGAGGTTGACTGAGAGAAAACTAACAAACGCTTTCGATTTACTTATTCAAATTAATTTCGATGCGCATGAGCGTAAGATATTACTCCGTTTTTCGGATTTATTAACAAGATATAAACATAGAAAAGGATATATCAATTCATTTAGAGACAAAAATTAAACAAGCATGTAAGAAACCGAAGAATAATAGAGCAAGCGGTCCTGGAGTAATACCGGAAGAATTGATAAAAAATGGAACAGAAAAATTATTTAGAATGACAACAAAATTATTCGAAAGGTGTCTTAATGAAGAAGACATTTCAAAAGAATGGAAAATTGGCTTTTTGACATCTATCTATAAAAAAGGAGATAAACAAAAATGTGAGAACTGTCGAGGAATTACAGTAACAGCAACATTTAATAGATTATATAGACGAATAATAAGAGATCTAATCGAAGAATAATATCAAAGAAAAGAAAAAGAAGAGTAGAGTGAATTCAGAACAGGAAGATCATGTATGGACAATATTTTCTGTATAAAACAGATTATGAATAAAAAGATTAGCAACAGGACAGGAAACTTATTTGTTGTTTTTAGACTTAACGAAAGCATATGATAATGTCCCAACATCAAAATTATGGGAGACATTAAAAGAGATAAATATGAATAACATGCTTATTAAAGCAGTTAAAGAATTAGGCTATATAGAGAATCCATAAAAAAAAATCAAAATTGAAATATATANAAAGATATTTTATTAAGTGAAATGATTTGTTTTTTTATTAGCTCATTACTATTTTATTTAATTTTTTAAATTACCATTAGGTACTTGCTATTCTAATACTTGATGTATTTTATAAAAATTAAATTTATCTCTTGCAAAAACAAAACATGTAGGTTATATGATACTTGTTTATAGGAAGCATTTTAAATTCAATTATAGTTTTTATGAGTTTTATGGTTTTGTATATATTGTAAAATGAAGAAATGTTAAACTTTTGCCTTCTCATAATTCATTATTTAAATTAGTGTTGTTGTTAGAATGTAAGCAGTAATATATACAAATACTTTTTTATATATATAAAAAGTATTTTTTAATTTGCATATTCCTTTCATGTAATTTAATAGTATGGTAGCTTCTCTGCAATAAATTTCTGTTTAGCAGAAAAGCTAGATGTCATAAACTTCTTTTGTGAATCACAATAATAATTTTTTTTTTATACATAAATGATTTTTTTTTAATAGTAAGGCTATTGTTCTCTTTGTTTTGGATTTTTTTTTTATTTCAAAAATAACAAAAACATTTTATGAAATGATACATAATGATAGAAAATATTTGACTTTAAATTTAGAATACTTAAATTTGTGATAATACTATGTTGTGAATTTGTAAGATTTTATAATATTTCAATATATTAATTTTATAGTTAGATCATATTTGATTTTATTTTAAAATTTAAAATATCAATGACATTTTCCAGATTTGTGTTAGAGAAAATTATCATTATGAAGAACATAATTAATTTGAGTTATAAACTTGAATCAATTGATTCCAATTTATGAATGAAACATGTTAATGATTTAGAATGTCATATTGGAAAATATTCTGTTCTGTAATAAAAATGATATTTCAAAAACTTTATAGGAAAATCTTTTTAATAATTTATATCAAATGAATAAAGTTAAATTATATTATATAACATTAGTGGGAACTTTCTCTGTTTTTTTCGTTGCACACCAGTCATTGGTTCATAAGGTACATTGTTTACTATGCCCCGGTATTGTGTGTTGTTCATAGTATATAACTTTTAATTCTGAATTTCTTTATGTTATAATAACTCTTTATACTATAAATGAATGTGTTTCTGGAATAATTAATAGCAAAGATTATTGGAAAAATATTATTATTATTATTATTATTATTAGATATTATTATTTTTCGTTTAACATATTTGGAAAATAATGTGTTAAATGAAAATAATAATATCCACTCTAAAAACCATTTAATGCAGTAATATTTCTTTATTCTAACATTTTCAATGGTCTTCAATCATATTCAGGAAAATTAACGTTGTAAAAAGAACAAATGCCAATTATTATTACTGCATTAAATAGTTTTTAGAGTGGCTATGTGTACAATTGCAGTTCATAAAAGGGTAATTAGTGAAAAAATAATTGTAAAACTATGCTTGGTCATAAGTAAAATTTCATATTTTTTATTGTGATCAAAAATTTGAAATTTTAGCAAAAACACAATATTTATAATCATTGTGTTTTTGCTAAAACAAAAATTTATACAATATATAATTTGTTTCTAGTTACACTACTATTAAATTTTAAAGAACATCATAAATCTTGATAAAGAATAATATAGTTTAAAAGAACTTTGTTTTTTTACTGTAAAACTATTAAACTATTTTTCAAATTAAAAAAAAAAAATGCTTATACTAAAGATACTTTTTTCTTGAAAGCTAAACTTATTGCAGGGATGCAGTTTACTTTCAGAGCATGCAATGAATATATGGAAATAGAAATGTCTTCTTTTTTATTGTTTTACTAGCTGCAAGGACCCGCTTCACTAGGTTTTTATTTGTTTGTACATTTGTATGTAATATAGTTTTTTTTTTTTATATAAAAGATTGTGTTTTTCTAAGTAATCTAGAGTCTAGCTGCAAGGACCCACTTCGAAGTATAACATTTTTATATATAATATTTATCATTATTTTATTTCTTAATTCGATTTAATCGTATTCTTGGATTTATTGCGTATTGAAAAGAAAAGAAGACACAACTAGTTTTTATTTTTTAAATACAACCAATAGTTATAGAAAGGTTTTGTGACGTAATAGTTTTTGACCAATCCATGTGTAAGCAGTTGGGACAAAGTGATACAGTATATCCGGGCATTCTTGGAGACAACAAAGGCCGCCATTTTGGAAATTGCAACATTGAATCGTTATTGTTGGTTAAGAGTTAACATGTAAATGTGTCAAAGTGACAGTTATCTCTTGAGCACGAATAATGTGAATATGTTCTTTTCCAATATAAGAAACGCAATGGCACGAATAGAATTTTGAATGGCGACACTGTTCACAATGTAATAGATTGGTCGATCGAGATCGATTCCTCGTCTTTGTTCAATGTTTGATTGAAAAGTTCAATAATTTGGACAAACTTGGACATGAAGTATGAGGGAAATTACTAAATATTGTCTAGTGATTTGGTATGCAACAGGTTAGTTCATGTTTATGTATTACATTTGTTTGTATGTAATGAGAATTAAATGAAATGCGGTCGTTCGCATCTTTGTACATTTGGACGAGTGCCAACTTTCCTACAATTGTTTATTATTATTATTTTTCTCTTTTTATCTAATAGATTGAGGATATTTCTCAGATATTGCTAATTATAAACATGCAATTAATCAGGAAAAATTTGTCAATATCTAATTGTAATTTAACAAAGAAAAATCGCAGAAGATATTACTTAAATATTAACAATAAGCGTTATTTTCCAATATAGTGTCGATTTCTGCAATATTTTGCCTGTTTAGTTATTTAATATTATACTTTTATCCATTAAATCTGNTAATATTTTTTTAATAGGAAAATTCCAATGTAGTTAAGTTTTAAAAATAGGTCATACAGTTAAAATGTTTTATATAATTGAAGAAACATTTTGTAACATTAATTTTAAAATTAGAAATATTCATATTAATTTTGTAATCATTATTAAAATTTAAGACAAAAATAAAAATAACATAATAAATAAAATACGGAAATAAAATGTAAATATTGGCAAAATCGTCAGTTTTATAATTTAAACATTTAAAAATATACATAAATATCCGGGATGTAACCAGAAATTTCTGATTGTGAGTCACCTGCTTTGCTGATTGCTTGGCATATGTAGGTATACTATATTATAAAAACACAGTAGCTCAAGACCCAACAACACATTGAGTACAGGGACATGCAAGGAATTGCCTTATCAGTATTGTAGCTTCTTGCATGGCATATGCAAAGCAGTGATACACATGACAATGGTCAACAGAAAAAAAGTGCAGAATAAGAACATCTATTAAATTTTTTTTTTTTTTCATCATGACTAATCATGTAACCTAGTATTTGAGTCTGATGTATCTGTTTTCTGTTTCATTGAGTGGTTAAATTCTTGTGACTTTATGCTGTTTTAAAGTTGTGGGGTGGCAGTGAGGACCAGCAGAGGGTGAATGGTGGAAGATCATTAGTATGGGGAAACACCATCCCTTTCTGCTTGTCCTTGTAACGAGTCCCTTTCATTAGAATTTTAAATTTTTGGAACAGAAAATAGTCACAGGGAACCAAACCAGATTGGGAGAATATAATGGAGGTCTGGGCTTACAATATCTTTTTGGGCCAAAAATTGATGAATGAGGCGGTGCTCTTGTGTGATGGTGCATTGTCATGCAGCAGTGTTCAGCTTCCTTGAGCTTGATACTCCGGCCATATGCGTAAAATTAGGTTTCAAAGATGTTTCAAAATACTCAAATCATAATCCCCAGTAACATTTGGCCATTCAGGATAAATTCTTTGTGCATGATATACAGTAGACCCTATAACACGGGTTCATATAACACGGCGAAAAAATTGCGATTGTGTTTGTATAACATGCTAAAAGAGACTCGTATAACACGGTAAAATGTCATCGCTGACTCGTGTCGTGACAGGATTAGTCGAATCTGGATCAATAGCGGATATTGTACAAACTGTTGAGTTTAAATGAGCAGCGGATCTACTGAAAATCATTTATTATTTAATGGCCATAAAAATTATATTTATATTAATGATGTCTTCAAAGTTCAGTGAAATTTTTGCAGAAAAATAACTTATAAGGAAACACGCGTTTGCCATTCTGTGATGAAAACAAGCTTAAGCAATGGCGTCGTTGAACGATGCACACTCGGTAAGTAATCCTATAATTTTTTGTTTATAGCGTAGTTTATATGGATTATTCCCAAAAAATTATACGTGTTTTGGAAATGTTGAGTCAAATTAGTCTAGAATTGGTTAATTTTATGGAAGAAAACCTTTCAAACAGCCATTGTCCCTAAACTGCATACGTGCCGACCTGTGATTGGCTCATGTATTTAAGTGACTCGTACAACACAGAATTCATATAACATGGAACGTATCTACCATGTTATAGGGGGGTCTACTGTATTTTTGGAATGAAAAACCAGTGGTGTTCCATGACATTTGATGATAGGGAAGCTGTGTTTCTGTAAGAAGCTGACTTCCAGAGGCAATCAGTTAATTGCATGCCAGTGATGGTCAAGGGTCCATTCGTATTGTTTGTTTGATAAGCCAGTAAAATCCGTAGACTTCTCTAAATGTATTTTTAATATCACAATTACATTCTGAATTGCTAGCCACGATATAAGGGCTAAAATTATAAATAAAATAATAANAGTGAAGATTAAGATAATTACATTATAGCCAATCTTACCCATTTTCACAGAATGCAAGAATTAGGTTTCCCGTTTCCAGACTAATTAGAGACCTGGTCCCGATTCTATTTCGGAACATCTCCTGTTCACGTCCAGTCAAACGAACTATTTTCAACGTTTCTGGAACATTTACAATCGTTCTATAATTGAACCAATATTCAAATTTTATGTTCAAATTCAAATTTGAATATTGTTCGAATTAAATTCGTACATAAAATTCAAAATAGTGGTTGAAAGACTGATAGTGCTGATAGTGGTTGAAACCACGTTTCAACCACTTTCAGCCCCATATCTCCTGCATTCTTATAGCTATTGAGACACAACCACCATAGTGCACGAATGGAGACTTGGGGCTACTACCACATACAAACACCATTCATGTGCGATGTGTAGTTTTGGCTGAAAAGTGAAATATAGGGACACACACGTCCATTTTTATATATACATATAGATTTCTAGTAAAAACATCAATTTAAAGAATTATATATTTTAAAAGATTATATATATATAATCTTATGATTTAAAATGATAATGTAGAGAGTATATTAAAGAATTTTGAGATAGAATTAAAATCATCTGACTTTCAGATTTTTACAAAATTGAATTTTAAGTTTTAATATTTCGTAATATTTTTTTAATAGGAAAATTCCAATGTAGTTAAGTTTTAAAAATAGGTCATACAGTTAAAATGTTTTATATAATTGAAGAAACATTTTGTAACATTAATTTTAAAATTAGAAATATTCATATTAATTTTGTAATCATTATTAAAATTTAAGACAAAAATAAAAATAACATAATAAATAAAATACGGAAATAAAATGTAAATATTGGCAAAATCGTCAGTTTTATAATTTAAACATTTAAAAATATACATAAATATCCGGGATGTAACCAGAAATTTCTGATTGTGAGTCACCTGCTTTGCTGATTGCTTGGCATATGTAGGTATACTATATTATAAAAACACAGTAGCTCAAGACCCAACAACACATTGAGTACAGGGACATGCAAGGAATTGCCTTATCAGTATTGTAGCTTCTTGCATGGCATATGCAAAGCAGTGATACACATGACAATGGTCAACAGAAAAAAAGTGCAGAATAAGAACATCTATTAAATTTTTTTTTTTTTTCATCATGACTAATCATGTAACCTAGTATTTGAGTCTGATGTATCTGTTTTCTGTTTCATTGAGTGGTTAAATTCTTGTGACTTTATGCTGTTTTAAAGTTGTGGGTGGCAGTGAGGACCAGCAGAGGGTGAATGGTGGAAGATCATTAGTATGGGGAAACACCATCCCTTTCTGCTTGTCCTTGTAACGAGTCCCTTTCATTAGAATTTTAAATTTTTGGAACAGAAAATAGTCACAGGGAACCAAACCAGATTGGGAGAATATAATGGAGGTCTGGGCTTACAATATCTTTTTGGGCCAAAAATTGATGAATGAGGCGGTGCTCTTGTGTGATGGTGCATTGTCATGCAGCAGTGTTCAGCTTCCTTGAGCTTGATACTCCGGCCATATGCGTAAAATTAGGTTTCAAAGATGTTTCAAAATACTCAAATCATAATCCCCAGTAACATTTGGCCATTCAGGATAAATTCTTTGTGCATGATATACAGTAGACCCTATAACACGGGTTCATATAACACGGCGAAAAAATTGCGATTGTGTTTGTATAACATGCTAAAAGAGACTCGTATAACACGGTAAAATGTCATCGCTGACTCGTGTCGTGACAGGATTAGTCGAATCTGGATCAATAGCGGATATTGTACAAACTGTTGAGTTTAAATGAGCAGCGGATCTACTGAAAATCATTTATTATTTAATGGCCATAAAAATTATATTTATATTAATGATGTCTTCAAAGTTCAGTGAAATTTTTGCAGAAAAATAACTTATAAGGAAACACGCGTTTGCCATTCTGTGATGAAAACAAGCTTAAGCAATGGCGTCGTTGAACGATGCACACTCGGTAAGTAATCCTATAATTTTTTGTTTATAGCATAGTTTATATGGATTATTCCCAAAAAATTATACGTGTTTTGGAAATGTTGAGTCAAATTAGTCTAGAATTGGTTAATTTTATGGAAGAAAACCTTTCAAACAGCCATTGTCCCTAAACTGCATACGTGCCGACCTGTGATTGGCTCATGTATTTAAGTGACTCGTACAACACAGAATTCATATAACATGGAACGTATCTACCATGTTATAGGGGGGTCTACTGTATTTTTGGAATGAAAAACCAGTGGTGTTCCATGACATTTGATGATAGGGAAGCTGTGTTTCTGTAAGAAGCTGACTTCCAGAGGCAATCAGTTAATTGCATGCCAGTGATGGTCAAGGGTCCATTCGTATTGTTTGTTTGATAAGCCAGTAAAATCCGTAGACTTCTCTAAATGTATTTTTAATATCACAATTACATTCTGAATTGCTAGCCACGATATAAGGGCTAAAATTATAAATAAAATAATAATAACTTACTTGGTGAAATAAAATTTGTGGTGGATGTACCGGTACATACCCGGTACAAAATATTTTTCAATTGTATGAAAATACTTTTAAAGAAAATTATAATTAAATATAGCTTTGTAAAGAAACGTACATAAAAATAACATAAAATCTTCTTTACTTTTTAAATCTTAAAACAATCCACTTATTCAAATAGCTCCCTACAAGTTACTAATGGATGGAATCAGAGATGGTCCTGGTAGGTGCATGCATGCGGGCTAATTGACC